TAACATCAAGAACAATTTAGAGCAACAAAAAATATGTGATTTTGCAAAATTAATGTCCGTGTTAAACGTAAAACACATTTAGAACAATTTGAATCGGCAAAGTTTGAGTTATTTTAGATTGTTCTATGTTTTTTAATTCTTATTGTGTAATATAAAACCGCTGACACAAGAATTACTGACTGAAACTTCCAAAAACTTTAATTTTCAAAGAGTAAAGTGTCCTTTACAAAGTTGTTCTAGTGAAAATAATAGCTGTTCCAAGTATATATTTGTAATATGGAATTGATAATAGAAAGACTATGGTCACAGCAATCAACTAGACATTTTGGAGGCCAAACCTATTTTTAGTTATAACTTTGTAATGCTGTATCCCATAATTTTGATTTTCTAGAACAATAACTAGAACAACTAGAACAACCCAGAACAACAAAGAAAATTTGATTTTTCCAAAAATGGGGGGCTAGTCAAAAAACCTGTTTTTTCGGTTTTCTCGCGGAGTTTTTATTTTTTCGATTTGCCGCTTTGGAACAACTCTAGAACAATCTAGAACAACAATAAAAAATTTAAAAATCAAAAATGGGGGGCTAACTTCCCGCACTCTTTTAATGGTGACTCGGTGGAAACTTTAAAATGTATTAAGTATGGTTATATAAAAAGAATTTAATTTTTTTAAATTTAAGATAACAATATATTACAAGTAAAAATAAAAACAAATATTTTATAATTTTGATTTTTATTACAAACCTAAAACCTTCCTAAAAATATTCTATAGTTCCTATTAAAAATTAACATTAATAAGTGAAAGATACACACTATTTAGTGATATTTTGTCACTTAATAAAGTAAAATTAGAACGAATCTTTAATAATTTACAGTGCTAATTTTACACTGATTAGATTAGAAATGTATCTAATTAAAGTCACGACAACATCTAATTAGATTACATATAATACACTGTTATAGAGTAACGATTTTACACTATTTAATAAACACCATCTTCTTACTATTTAGGGTAAAATTTTAATCTATTCACCTACACTATATAGTGCAAAAAAATAACTCTAAATATATTGGACCGATCTGAACCATGTTTTAGAGTTGATTTTTACTCTATATTTTTTCCTGTGTANGATTTGCCGCTTTGGAACAATGTAGAACAACTCTAGAACAATCTAGAACAACAATAAAAAATTTAAAAATCAAAAATGGGGGGCTAACTTCCCGCACTCTTTTAATGGTGACTCGGTGGAAACTTTAAAATGTATTAAGTATGGTTATATAAAAAGAATTTAATTTTTTTAAATTTAAGATAACAATATATTACAAGTAAAAATAAAAACAAATATTTTATAATTTTGATTTTTATTACAAACCTAAAACCTTCCTAAAAATATTCTATAGTTCCTATTAAAAATTAACATTAATAAGTGAAAGATACACACTATTTAGTGATATTTTGTCACTTAATAGAGTAAAATTAGAGNTAGCACGTATAAAAAAATACGTAAACCTTATTTTTGGCCATACTATCGCTGTACCAAATTTCAACAAAATCGGTGAGGGACAGTTCTGATACTTTCCTTGTAAGTGATAGGTTTTTAATATCCGGCCAAAGCCGGATATTTAGTAACTATCCGGTATCCGGCCGGATTTTAAAAAATGGCCGGATAGGCCGGATACTGGATAGTTGCCGGAGATCCGTTCCATCACTACTTTAAACCATTAAAATACAAAATATATTAAAAGAAATCATAACATAAAATCCATATATTTTTATAACTTACCTTAATGTAACACTTAACCTTTCTTCTGGGAATATGGCTAGACGTTTGTTAGCATCTTCCTTAGAAATAGAAATAGCGATCAACTTCAATAACTCATTGTTGACACTCTTTCTATAGTACATGAAAAACTTATCAGGATGTAGACATTTTTTATGCGTTTTATTAGCGTGNTTAATCATTTAATAATTAAATGAATTGGTACTGAATTCTCTGAACGCAACACGGATAAATGCAAGCCTGGCATGCTTAAAGATGTGTGAGCGATCGGAACGGTAGATCGCGTGGTGAGAGTGCATTTATGATCGCGCCCCATAGGTTCTGTGCTGGCGACGCTACTGAGACGGTACCGAAATATCCGAGCTTTGATAATAACGCAAGTAATAATGCTTTTCTATTTAACATTTCTAGAATTTTATTAACTGCACCACTTACGAGAACATAAAATAATAATTTTGAACAATTAAACTGTTTCGTCGATGAACAATCGACCGTGTGTACCTACCCTTATGTCAATATTGTTATTTTTTAGCTAAATTGAATTAAAACTACTAAATAAGAAGTAACGGTGCTTAACATAGTAAAAAGCATCGTATAATCAACATTAAAAAACCCAGCAGCAGTAAAATGAGATGATCTCATCGCGATTTGTTCGGCGAGTAACAATAAATCATTTCGGAGTTCTTTTTCATCAAGTTTCTGTGATGTTTGGACCGAAATTGTAGTTAATAGTTTATAACAAACGTTTGCTGTATTTTTTGCTTCTTTTACAGTTGAATTTGCAACGCTGGTTAAAAAAATTCCAATAATTAATGAAGCTGCGGCCCAAGATGTCATTAAAACGATAAATTCAAAGCCGTAAGTTGATGTTAAAAGTTTAGCTTTTTCGTTATTAAATTGAATCATAAAGTTCAACGATAACAAAATGTTTGCTAAAATGCTAAAGTTGATGCATAAAATGGTCCAACCAAAAATTCGGTTAAAATATTCGATGGTTTTGGTTAAAATTAAAAAGATTTTGATTAAATCTTTTGGGCCGTAAGTTATAACGGTGAAGATTTTGGTGCGATTTCGATTTTTTATTGAGAATTCGAGAGATTTATTCGCTGAAATGAATAATTTTTTCATGTAAAGCATTAAATTGCACATTAAAAGAACGGAAACGTTTGTGTGATATTTTTGAAGGTTTTGATGGATTATGTAGAAGTGGAACTTTTCGTTTTTTGAAACCTTAATCCATAAATAGTAGTCTAAAACAACGATTGGCATAAACGTTAAATGTGTTAAGATCAATTCCACCCAAATTCGAAGAGATGTTTTTGTATTATTTCCTTTATTATTATTAAAATAAATCAATTTCATCTCGACTTTAACCAAATCGTTGTAAAATATTTTAAATTCTTCAAAACTTATTGTATTCATTGATATAGTTAGTACTATAATTTGTAAGGTGAACGATAAATAAGCGATTAAATTCATCGTTTGCATCGTGCCGGGTAACGTTTCGAACAAAAATAAATATTCTTCTACAAGACCACCAATTGAACCAAGAATCCAATAAATTAGAATGATTATCCGGTAAATTTTATAAAACTTATTTTGAAAAAACGTGTGATTTTTATCGTTGTAAGGTGGTATTATCGCCAAAAATGTACACAACTTAAACAACGGTTTTAACAAATTCACTTGAAGCCGAGGCATGATTTTGAAACGTTTTGAGGTAAAGTGGTTATTGATGGGTCGGTAAATGTAATGAAGAGATTCATTAGGATCAATTTGGAGGGAATGGAAATTATTGAAAGTGGAAAAAGTAATTTGGAACAAATTAACTTAACGCGAACAAAAAACATTAATAAAATTAAAAATAAAGGAACGTTTATTTATAAAATAATTTGAATATAATAATAAATTTAAAAATACGTAATTATAATCGAAATATTTACAAAATGATTATGATAAAATGTGCTTTGTCCATGACGACATTGACAAGTTGGTTGTCAACGAAATGTCATTAATAGTTATTTATTGTGTAAGTGTTTTAAACAGCATTTTATTCACGCAAGAATTTTCTTAAGTGAATAAAACGCATCTAAAACACGCATGCAATTCAACGTTTTATCCACAATTACACTCATTTAGAATCAGAATCGCCAAAATTTCATCTGATGTTATCAAAAAATGATTTGACATTTCACTCTGACAGCGGCTGTCACCTCAAAAATCATTGCAATTAACTAAAGAAACATTGGGAGGTGCTGAATTGTTGCTATTTATTTTCGATTGTTTATCGACTCCATTTGTAACATATTTGTAAAAGTGTGAAAGTTGTAAAGATTGTAAAGGAAGCTGAAGAAGCAACTTATTGCCTGCAAAGTCTAGGGAACATTACGTACAAGTATTTTTGTAATTCGCTACGGTAATGGAAGCTATAACAGTACTCAAACGGGTGCTGTAATGAGACTCCTTACAGCATCCGATGCTGTAATGAGATTTTAGTCACATTTTATAGAACCAGTTCAAGTTGGTGACATTGGGTCATTAATTTTTCTAGNTCGACCGTGTGTACCTACCCTTATGTCAATATTGTTATTTTTTAGCTAAATTGAATTAAAACTACTAAATAAGAAGTAACGGTGCTTAACATAGTAAAAAGCATCGTATAATCAACATTAAAAAACCCAGCAGCAGTAAAATGAGATGATCTCATCGCGATTTGTTCGGCGAGTAACAATAAATCATTTCGGAGTTCTTTTTCATCAAGTTTCTGTGATGTTTGGACCGAAATTGTAGTTAATAGTTTATAACAAACGTTTGCTGTATTTTTTGCTTCTTTTACAGTTGAATTTGCAACGCTGGTTAAAAAAATTCCAATAATTAATGAAGCTGCGGCCCAAGATGTCATTAAAACGATAAATTCAAAGCCGTAAGTTGATGTTAAAAGTTTAGCTTTTTCGTTATTAAATTGAATCATAAAGTTCAACGATAACAAAATGTTTGCTAAAATGCTAAAGTTGATGCATAAAATGGTCCAACCAAAAATTCGGTTAAAATATTCGATGGTTTTGGTTAAAATTAAAAAGATTTTGATTAAATCTTTTGGGCCGTAAGTTATAACGGTGAAGATTTTGGTGCGATTTCGATTTTTTATTGAGAATTCGAGAGATTTATTCGCTGAAATGAATAATTTTTTCATGTAAAGCATTAAATTGCACATTAAAAGAACGGAAACGTTTGTGTGATATTTTTGAAGGTTTTGATGGATTATGTAGAAGTGGAACTTTTCGTTTTTTGAAACCTTAATCCATAAATAGTAGTCTAAAACAACGATTGGCATAAACGTTAAATGTGTTAAGATCAATTCCACCCAAATTCGAAGAGATGTTTTTGTATTATTTCCTTTACTATTATTAAAATAAATCAATTTCATCTCGACTTTAACCAAATCGTTGTAAAATATTTTAAATTCTTCAAAACTTATTGTATTCATTGATATAGTTAGTACTATAATTTGTAAGGTGAACGATAAATAAGCGATTAAATTCATCGTTTGCATCGTGCCGGGTAACGTTTCGAACAAAAATAAATATTCTTCTACAAGACCACCAATTGAACCAAGAATCCAATAAATTAGAATGATTATCCGGTAAATTTTATAAAACTTATTTTGAAAAAACGTGTGATTTTTATCGTTGTAAGGTGGCATTATCGCCAAAAATGTACACAACTTAAACAACGGTTTTAACAAATTCACTTGAAGCCGAGGCATGATTTTGAAACGTTTTGAGGTAAAGTGGTTATTGATGGGTCGGTAAATGTAATAAAGAGATTCATTAGGATCAATTTGGAGGGAATGGAAATTATTGAAAGTGGAAAAAGTAATTTGGAACAAATTAACTTAACGCGAACAAAAAACATTAATAAAATTAAAAATAAAGGAACGTTTATTTATAAAATAATTTGAATATAATAATAAATTTAAAAATACGTAATTATAATCGAAATATTTACAAAATGATTATGATAAAATGTGCTTTGTCCATGACGACATTGACAAGTTGGTTGTCAACGAAATGTCATTAATAGTTATTTATTGTGTAAGTGTTTTAAACATAATCTAAAACACGCATGCAATACAACGTTTTATCCACAATCACACTCATTTAGAATCAAAATCGTCAAAATTTCATCTGGTGTTATCAAAAAATGATTTGACATTTCACTCTGACAGCAGCTGTCACCTCAAAAATCATTGTAATTAACTAAAAAAACATTGGAAGGTGTTGAATTGTTGCTATTTATTTTCGATTGTTTATCGACTTCATTTGTAACATATTTGTAAAAGTGTGAAAGTTGTAAAGGTTGTAAAGGTAAAGTTGGTGAAAAATGGAAGAATTATGTTCCTAAGATAATTCTTGAGGAAGCGCAAGAAGCAACTGATCAATTATTGCAAAGTACAGGGAACATTACGTAATAATATATTATTCAACAAGCGTATAATGGCGGCTGTTACCCACGAAGATAAAGTTGCAACACGAGCGAGCGAGTGTTGTAATCTGAGTGGGTAACATCCATTATACGCAAGTTGAATACTATACTTTATCTACATCTATTTAATTTTGAAAAAAAAATCAAAAAAAAGGAAAAAAAAAAACTTGATAGATATTTCAGACATAACCTCAATATAAGAAAGCTGTCATTTCTGTTAATATTTTATTTTTTGATTAGTAGGCCGTGTCAGAACTGTGGAATATTGGCTTCATTATTCAACACTTTGTCAGTCATGGGTAATGCGTGTCATTACCCGTCAAAAATCAAATGTATAACGAATAGATAATTCAATAGTTGTAGATAAAAGTATTTTTCGCCTCCCATACCTGAAAGTAAATCATATCAGCCCTAAAAAAATAACTGAAAGCTAGATTTTCGGCCCTTGGGATTCTAAACTCTGAACGTCCCTACTTTATAGTTTTTCATCACAATCTAGTTAGTCTTCATTGACAATTTGCGGACATTTTTGACGTTTCTCATAATTTTTCATTAAACGCGAGTTGAAATCAAAACTGCGACAAAATGAACGAAGAATCGGACGAAGAATTATTCACAAATACACCACCGGAGTTGCACGAACAAGCTAAGAATATTTCCAATGATTTGTTACCTAGAAAATCAGTAGAACGTTACACAAAGTGCTACGAATTATTTAATACCTGGAGAAAACTTAAAAAAAACAAAAACTTAACGGAAAATGTATTACTTGCTTATTAATTATCGGAAAGGTCAAAAACGGTAAATGCAGCTACATTATAGTCTGAATTCTGTATGTTAAAAAGCAGTTTCAACGTCAAGGAAAATATTAACACTTTTCATAAAGTTCGAGCATTTTTGAAGCAAAATTCTATAAATTACCAGCCCAAAAAATCTAATACTTTAAATCAACAACAATGCATTCAGTTTTTGAAAGACGCAGATGATTCACATTATCTTATGATGAAGGTGGGTACATAGATTAAAATAAATTAATTTTGATTTTTATTGATTTCATTATAGGTTTCTCTCATAATGGGAATATACGGAGCTTTTCGTCGAAATGAGTTGTTAAATATGAAATTTGATCAAATAGATAACAGAGGAGATCTAGTAATAATTATCGTTCCAGAGACAAAAAATAATATGACAAGGACGTTTACAATCACAAATAAAATAATTGATGGATTGAATTTACTTGGAATATACCACTAATATGTTTGCCTTAGATCTACCCACACTCCTCATAGTCGTCTATTTATTTCATACAAGAATAATAAATGCACAGTACAACCGATCGGGAAAAATAGATTTAGCAAAATTCCTAGCAAAATTGCCACTTTTTTAGAACTGCCTCAACCTAGTACATACATAGGACATTGTTTTCGTCGAAGTTCTGCAACGTTGCTAACTAACTCTGGAACTGATTTGGTAACACTGAAAAAGCATGGAGGTTGGCGTTCCTCTGCGGTTGCAGCAACAGCAGCCCAGCACTACTAACACGATTGAAGTGGTTGATACATTAAAGCAAACAAATGAATCTATAGAAATAAATCATAATGCTACTACTAGTACGTTAAACACTTACCAGATACCAAATTCTAGTATTACTATTCACAACTGTGCGGAAGGAATAATTAATATTAATAATAATTATTACAATAAGTAAGTTGTTCCTAGTGTTTTTGTTAAATTCTGTTACATACTATACTCTGTTTTTAAACAAGGAGTATTTTAAATTTGTCACCAGATTGACCTTGATGACACATAGTCATTATTGTAAATTTTGTTTAAACCCTTTTGCGTCTTCAATTTAATTGAGTGAAATCTGTTCTTTTTAGAACAAGGTATGGATCGTGACCCTAATAGTCGTTCACAACAAATTTCACCTCCGAAAAAGCGTAAATTGTTGAATTTAGGACACTTAGCTTTGTTTGAAAAGCAACGTGTCCTAAATCTCTACAAGCAATACATTAATGACGAAAAGCCAATGAAAATTAGTAATATTGTTGATAAAATTGTCGAGGTTGCTGGCAAGAAAAACGTTTTAAAAATTATATAAAGCCAAATAATGTTTTATTTGTCGGGGCAGCAAAATCAACAGTATACCGTGTGGTGAAGGAATATAAAGATACCGGAAAGGTTACGAGTTGATTTGAAAGTTGATTTTGCTACCCCTCAAATATACTGTTACGATTTCTCTTCATGTATCTATAAAAAAACATTATAACAATGTATATATTTTATTATTATAGTTCTATATAAATTTTATTTTAAACTAAATACACTCATAACCTCAATGTTAATATGTATGTATAGTGTTGACGATAACAAACGAAAATAAATACAATAATAAGTAAATAAATAAATAATAATAATTATTAATTTAAATTTACCGCCAAAATATTTAGTGATATTTTCTGGTGATTTTTCGTAGTGTAAATCTGACCTTCGCGTTTACTCCTATTGGTTTAAAAACAGAGTATAATAAAATTAATTGATTTATAAAATTAGTTTTATTTTATATTTTTGCAATTTTGTTTGGTTTAATGGGAGGCGAAAAACAGTTGTGTGTCACACGTGCAGAAATGCATTAGCACCCATTATCTATTAGCTCTCTAATATCCATATCTAATAGCCTCGGGCTGCTAATGCTTATTTTCTGCCCTTGAGACACAATATACTATTTTGTAATTCGCGACGGTAATGAAAGCTCTAACAGTACTCAAACGGGTGCTGTAATAAGACTTCTTACAGCATCGGATGCTGTAATGAGATTTTAGTAACATTTTATGGAACCAGTTCAAGTTGGTGACATTGGGTCATTAATTTTTCTAGTTATATGTATAAATTAGTATAATGTTTGTCTATGGATGTTTAAACACGTTCTTAGCATCAAATACAAGGTCCACAATGATGAGGACATTGAACTCTGCGCAATTTCTCTTATTTTGGGAGGCTACATACCTATTTCGATACATTGTCAAAATTTATTTTATTTTTGTTAAAAAAAAAGGATAAAAATGAGAATTACAAAAAATAGCATAAAAAACACGTTTGATAAGACTTAAAGCACTCATTCATTAAAAAACACGTGGCTTCGCCACTCGTTATTCAACTTAAATTCATGCATTTCAAGCGTGTCTTACGAAACTTGTTTTTTAATATACTATTTCAGAGTTTAATGAATGGAAAGAAAAACTTGGGGTAATAACAATAAACGAGTAAGTTCTGCTATCGTATTTCTTAAATTTGAAGAAGAGGTCATCCATGTGGTCGAAGTATTCGATGCTGAAAGCCGCTATAAAGGTCTATAGAAACATAGACATAGGAAAATATAGTAAGCTCATGGCCTATTTGAAGAATCAGTCAAGAGGATACAAGGCGAAGAAATCTGTAGTATTGGAAAGAACGCACGTCGAAGAGTTTTTGACAAGGGCTTACGATAAAGAATACTTGATGATCAAGGTAATTTCCCTTAACCTTTTGGATGTTATATACAGGGTGTATCAGGTGTGAGTAGAAAAAATTTAAGGGGTTATAGGTCCCCTTTCTGTGAATAGAAAATTCTTATAACACAATGTACCATTCTTTGCCAATCTTAAGATATGATACGATAAAGTTAAGGGTTTGAAAGTTTAAATACTGCTGTATAAAGATTATACCAAGCAGGCTTTGCTTATGGATATAGGTTCAATTTGACACATAAAAGTCATTTTTGAGATATATTTTTTTTAGAGGTTGTTTACTTTATACGAATAAATTTATCACTTCTGTTTTATCACTCTTTAACGTGAAAATTTATAAAAATTTTTGTTTTAGTAAATAAACTTATTAAAAACATTAAAATTACAAAACTAGAAACAAATTACAAATTGCAAAGCAAAGCCTGCTTAGTATAATTCATTAACCAGTAGTATTCAAACTTGAGAACCCTTAAATGAATTTTTGAATTTTTTATTCAGAAAGAGGAGACCTATAACCCCTCAAATTTTTTCTACTCATACCTGTATACTACTGGGTACTGATACACCCTGTATAATAAATTTTGAAATATATTAGGTTGCACTAATAATGGGGGTGTCTGGTGCTTGTCGATGCTGTGAACTGACTAATTTGAAAATTAGTGATGTACAAGATAGGGNAGCGAGTAATCAGTGGTTGTTTCTATTTAAAAAAACGAAAATTGTCATAATATCTAGAAATCTAAAACCGAAAAAATTTTTTTGACTGCGTCATCATATTCTCTGTAAAAAAGTGTCCATATCATGTCTTAGTTATAATACTCCACCTATAATAATAACCAAGATAATTGCACTTACTGGTTTTACGATATTTTCAATTTTCGCCTCTAGGCGAAAAACAAAAGACGATAGCGCTTTGAGGTTTTTGGCATTAGCAATTTCTCGAAAAACGAGATCATGACATGTAAGCTATTTCTTTTCTAACTCTTATAGTTTCGGAGATCTATTCGGACATCGAATTTGAACCAACATTTTTTTCAGGTAAATACATTTTGTGTTTTGACAGTTTCTAATTGTCAATTCAAATTTCTATTTTCAAATGTTGCGGTGTTACCAACTGTTACATACCTATTTCCCTACATTGTCAAAATTGATTTTATTTTTGTTAAAAAAAGGATAAAAACGCGAATTACAAAAAATAGCATAAAAAACACGTTTGATAAGACTTAAAGCACTCATTCTTTAAAAAACTCGTGGCTTCGCCATTCATTATTCAACTTGAATTCGTGCATTTCAAGCGTGTCTTACGAAACTTGTTTTTTAATATACTATTTCCGAGTTTAATGAATGGAAAGAAAAACTTGGGGTATTAACAATAAATGAGGAAGTATTTCTTAAATTTGAAGAAGAGGTAAGCAATTTCATCCATGTGGTCGAAGTATTCGATGCTGAAAGCCACAATAATGGTCTATAAAAACATAGACATAGGAAAATATAGTAAGCTCATGGCCTATTTGAAGAATCAGTCAAGAGGATACAAGACGAAGAAATCTGCAGTATTGGAAAGAACGCACGTCGAAGAGTTTTTGACAAGGGCTTGCGATAAAGAATATTTGATGATCAAGGTAATTTCTCTTAACCTTTTGGATATTATATACAGGGTGTATCAGGTATGAGTAGAAAAAATTTAAGGGGTTATAGGTCCCCTTTCTGTGAACACAAAATTCTTATAACACAATGTACTATTCTTTGCCATTCTTAAGATATATACGATAAAGTTAAGGGTTTGAAAGTTTAAATACTGCTGTATAAAGATTATACCAAGCAGGCTTTGCTTATGTATATAGCTTCAGTTTGACACATAAAAGTCATTTTTGAGATATATTATTTTTAGAGGTTGTTTACTTTATACGAATAAATTTATCACTTCTGTTTTATCACTCTTTAATGTGAAAATTTATAAAAATTTTGGTTTTAGTAAATAAACTTATTAAAAACATTAAAATTACAAAACTAGAAACAAATTACAAATTGCAAAGCAAAGCCTGCTTAGTATAATTCATTAACCAGTAGTATTCAAACTTGAGAACCCTTAAATGAATTTTTGAATTTTTTATTCAGAAAGAGNTAATAAAATTAATTGATTTATAAAATTAGTTTTATTTTATATTTTTGCAATTTTGTTTGGTTTAATGGGAGGCGAAAAACAGTTGTGTGTCACACGTGCAGAAATGCATTAGCACCCATTATCTATTAGCTCTCTAATATCCATATCTAATAGCCTCGGGCTGCTAATGCTTATTTTCTGCCCTTGAGACACAATATACTATTTTGTAATTCGCGACGGTAATGAAAGCTCTAACAGTACTCAAACGGGTGCTGTAATAAGACTTCTTACAGCATCGGATGCTGTAATGAGATTTTAGTAACATTTTATGGAACCAGTTCAAGTTGGTGACATTGGGTCATTAATTTTTCTAGTTATATGTATAAATTAGTATAATGTTTGTCTATGGATGTTTAAACACGTTCTTAGCATCAAATACAAGGTCCACAATGATGAGGACATTGAACTCTGCGCAATTTCTCTTATTTTGGGAGGCTACATACCTATTTCGATACATTGTCAAAATTTATTTTATTTTTGTTAAAAAAAAAGGATAAAAATGAGAATTACAAAAAATAGCATAAAAAACACGTTTGATAAGACTTAAAGCACTCATTCATTAAAAAACACGTGGCTTCGCCACTCGTTATTCAACTTAAATTCATGCATTTCAAGCGTGTCTTACGAAACTTGTTTTTTAATATACTATTTCAGAGTTTAATGAATGGAAAGAAAAACTTGGGGTAATAACAATAAACGAGTAAGTTCTGCTATCGTATTTCTTAAATTTGAAGAAGAGGTCATCCATGTGGTCGAAGTATTCGATGCTGAAAGCCGCTATAAAGGTCTATAGAAACATAGACATAGGAAAATATAGTAAGCTCATGGCCTATTTGAAGAATCAGTCAAGAGGATACAAGGCGAAGAAATCTGTAGTATTGGAAAGAACGCACGTCGAAGAGTTTTTGACAAGGGCTTACGATAAAGAATACTTGATGATCAAGGTAATTTCCCTTAACCTTTTGGATGTTATATACAGGGTGTATCAGGTGTGAGTAGAAAAAATTTAAGGGGTTATAGGTCCCCTTTCTGTGAATAGAAAATTCTTATAACACAATGTACCATTCTTTGCCAATCTTAAGATATGATACGATAAAGTTAAGGGTTTGAAAGTTTAAATACTGCTGTATAAAGATTATACCAAGCAGGCTTTGCTTATGGATATAGGTTCAATTTGACACATAAAAGTCATTTTTGAGATATATTTTTTTTAGAGGTTGTTTACTTTATACGAATAAATTTATCACTTCTGTTTTATCACTCTTTAACGTGAAAATTTATAAAAATTTTTGTTTTAGTAAATAAACTTATTAAAAACATTAAAATTACAAAACTAGAAACAAATTACAAATTGCAAAGCAAAGCCTGCTTAGTATAATTCATTAACCAGTAGTATTCAAACTTGAGAACCCTTAAATGAATTTTTGAATTTTTTATTCAGAAAGAGGAGACCTATAACCCCTCAAATTTTTTCTACTCATACCTGTATACTACTGGGTACTGATACACCCTGTATAATAAATTTTGAAATATATTAGGTTGCACTAATAATGGGGGTGTCTGGTGCTTGTCGATGCTGTGAACTGACTAATTTGAAAATTAGTGATGTAGAAGATAGGCGCATATTTGATTGTTTCGATACCAGATACCAAGACAGGTATTTCACGAAAATTTACAATTATAGAAGAAGGATTCTCTATTAATACTATGGTGACGTGTAGAAAATACATGTCTTTATGTCCGAAAAAGTTATTCAATGAGAGATACTTTTTAAAATACGCTAATCAAAAATGTACTTCACAACCTGTTGGGATTAACATTTTGTCGAAAGTTCCTTCAACAGTTGCTTCGTTTTTGAATCTGGCAAATACTAAAGCTTATAGCGGCCATTGTATGAGGCGCACTTCAACAACTTTATTGGTCAATAGAGGTGCCGACCTTACAATAATTAAACGACATGGTGGGTGGAGGAGCTCTGACATAGCAGAAACTTATATCGAGGATTCTATATGTAATAAGCTTGATATCGCAAGAAAAATCCAAGGTTCTACTGGTACTAGTCGTTCCTTACTAGAGGAAACGTCCATTGTTTTTACAGATTTTTCAAAAACTTCGACAGGCACTATGCGTTCTGGAAGCGATGACAATTACAAGCTGGTTATTAATGGAAATGAAGTAAAATATGACAAATTAAAGAATGAAATGTCTATTAATATAAATAATAAATAGGATGTGATTAATTTAAGATTGTATTTTTCATTATTCCACTAGTGGATAAAGTGGTACTTTATACGGTTCATAAGTGTGAATAAAATTTCAATTATAAGGTGATTGTGGATAAAAATTTTTTTTTGCTTTAAATTGAATTTAGAGACCAATTTACCTCAGAAACGTATTAAAATGGATTCGTTTTTATGTGTTTAATGTCAATTCAATGAAAAATTTTAATTAAATCGTAGAAAATGTTAAAATTATATTCCTGAATGTTTAGGCAACCAATTAAACACCTTATTAAAATTATGGACAAAAATGTTTTTTTTTTTCATTTTAACCAAAATAACTTACGTTTTAATTAGGATTCATTGCGTAAAAGGTGATTCGGGGTTCGTTGCTAAAAAGTAATTACCTCTTGCCCTACAAAATCAATTTGTAATAATTCTTTTAAAAGTTTTTAAATACTTACAATGGATGTGCTAAAAATCCCATACTAATCGGTTGTTGTTGAAAATCGCAGGAACCACTTTTAAAATCATTCCAAGAGTTACACTCAATCGCCGGAAATGAGAATTCCGAAACAACTGATTCAGCATAAAATTGATACGATCGCCAATGGCTACAAAACACTACAAAAAACGAAATAATTACATTAACCATATAATTATATAGGGTCCTACAACAGTGCGTCAGGCATCCATAGCTCCTATACCAATTAAGTAAGGAATTTCTTTCAGACGCAGGCTTGAACTATACAGGATGTTTCGGTGACTAGGAGAACAAATGTAACCACATGTACTAGAGTGAAAATGATGACGATTCATGTAAAAAAAATTAGTAAAAGACCTCAAATTGCAAAGAAAAAAATACCAGCCATCAAAGTTAGGAAATTTGAACACATTTTTCTAAATATCTTAAACACTATTTATGGTAAAGCGTTGACATTTCGTACAGTGTAAACTAATATCACGTAAAATCATTGGGCAATTGAGTTGCATCGGTACACGGGAACAATGCTATACAGACTGTTCCTAAAGTTTGTTTGCTCAGAACTTTTTTATTCTATCATAACCCTGCATTTATTTTTGCAGTTTCTAATAGTAAATTTAGTTACAAACTTTTATCACTCTTAGAGAATATTGATAAAAACACCGTTTTCGTATTAAATGCAAAAATGTTAGGCACCGAATTCAATAACACTAAAAAAAAAAATAAATAAATAATCTCAATTGGCAATGACAAGTGAAAATCGAATTGAGCTGTCATAACTATTATGTATGCAAAATGTCCAAGTGTAAATTTAGCTAAATCACATTTTTAATTTATTTTAGTTGGTTTAATAAAAGAATCCAAAAACAATAAATTAAAAATCAACAAAAAAACGACAGCACTAACAGGAATAATAAAAAAAAAGTACATAAAATAACAAGACAAGTAATAAAAAATACTAAAGGAAATGTTCAATAATTTAGGTTTCTTTTCTACTAGTCAATTCTAGTGCTATTATTGAAATCGGAACCCAACATTTTTGCATTTAACTCGAAAGCGGTGATTTTTATCAATATTATCTAACAGTAAAAAAAGTTTCAAAACTAAATTTACTATCAGAAACTGTAAAAATAAATGTAGGGTTATAATAGAATGAAAAAGTTCTGAGCAAACAAACTTTAGGAACAGCCTATATAGCAGTGTTCCCGCGGACCGATCCAACTGATGAATTGCCTAACAATTTTACATCACATTGATTTATACTCTACCAAATTTCAGCGGTTTGCTGTAAATGTGTTTAAGATATTTGGAAAAATGTGTTAAAATTTCCTAACTTTGATGGCCTGTATCTTTGAAATTTGAAGACTTTTACTAATTTTTTTTACATGAATCGTCATCATTTTTACTCTAGTATATGTGGTTAACTTTGTTCCCCGAGTCACCGAAACACCCTATACAGTGTGTATCTGAATGACTTCAACAAACTTCAAGGGGTGATTCTTTATTGAACTTTAAGGGTACTTTGATATATGAACCATGGGCGACTTCGGCTCCCCTAAGGTAGTTCCTTAACCCCTTACCCTTACCCCTCCAAAAATGGCGGAAAATTTTGCTTTTATTTTTTTTTCTCAAAAACCATAAACACTAGGAAAATGAAATTTGGGGAATATGTTTAACTCATAATAGGGCACGTTTTGACCCTGTTTATACATTCAACCTACCCTTCTAAACTACTAAACGTAACCACCCCCTTTACATTTTAGCTAAAATTTTTTTTATGCAGATGATAAGTACATTAGAAAAATTTTACATAGGTAGATGAAGGTATCCTACAACTTTCTTACCTCTCTAAAATTTTTCCAAAAACGACTAATTTTTGAGAAAAAAAATAATAAATCAAACACAAAAGGGGAACAACAGGGGTTGTCGATCAAAAGTTGGAATGAATTTTTAATGAAAAAATCTTAGTAGGCCTTGCAAACTTTGTCATAAATGTTTTTGACGTTTAAATGTCAGTGTTTTTCTTACTATTATTAGCTTTGTTTGCTATCTTGCACTAACGTACACCAGTGCACACCTTTTCTTAAAAATAGTGTTTGGTAGACTGGTGCAAACAAGTGTAGATAGTGCCGCCGCATTTGGTAAGCGATTGAGTTTTAAAAGTGCAGACACTTTTCACACCGACTCGCCGGCAAGTGTAGGAAGTGTAGTGTAAGTCGACATAACCTTTAAGACGTATTTAGTGTTTTGAAAGTGTCAAAGTTAGATTTATTTAAACAAAAATAAAATATTGTAAGCTAGAAAAAACAATAAATAACAGTTTGATTTGTAGAAAACGTTCTATTCAATTAAAATTAAAAACCCAATTGGAAGTTCTCCGGTTAAATATAATGGCTAAAATTGAAAGACAGTTAAATGTAAAAATAATTTATGATGAAGGGGGAAAACTACAGGCAACATTTCCTTTTTTGATTTATTCATCTTGATTCTTTGATCAATAATAAATTATTCAACTTCCTACAGAAATAATAAAGATTACATAACCTATAATTGTCATAATAATCCGTTTTACCAAACACCTAAAATTGTTACACTTATGCACTTTGAAAATGTGTTGAAAACTGAGAGTTGTCAACTGCACCACACTTGCTACACTAGGAGTATTTATAGCAAGTGTACCAAACACAGCTATTATTGTTTCTCAAATTAATTTTTAAATAAAGTTCTATCGCATTTACGCTCGTTCACTCGACGTTTCAAAATTTTAAATAAAACAATAATAATAGTAAGAAAACCACTGACATTTAAACATCAAAAATATTTTTGACAAAGATTGCAAAGCGTACTAAGATTTTTTCATTAAAAATTCATTCCAACTTTCGATTAACAACCCTACAGCTTAACAGTTAGTGTTTGCTTAATTTTTTTTTCTCATAAATTGTTAAATTTCAGAAGAACATCAGAGAGACAAAAAAGTTTTAGAATAGTTTTATCTATCTAACTGAAATTTTTCCAATGTATTTATCATCTTCATAAAAAAAAATCTAGGCATAAATTGAACGGGGGTGGTTACATTTAGTAGTTTAGAAGTGTAGGTCCTATTACAGTAGGCTCTATTATGACTCAAACATATTCCCCAAATTTCATTTTCCTAGCGTTTATGGTTTTTGAGAAAAAAGAATTAAACCAAAATTTTCCGCCATTTTTGGAGGGGTGTAGCTCCTTAGGGGAGCCGAAGTCGCCCATGGTTCATATATCAAAGTACCCTTAAAATTCACTACAGAATCACCCCTTGAAGTTTGTTGCAGTCATTCAGATACACCCTGTATACAGGTCTCAGCGAAACCGGTCATTAAACGTTTCTGGGGTTCTGGCCAAAATAAAAAATTGAGAATTCAAACTTAAGTATTATCATTATAATTACGTTCTCTCTGACTAAAATATTTTCAGATTTCTAGCAGTTCCGGTTATACCGGAAGTACTTTATTTTTTTAAAAGGAACTCCTGTATATTTTTACATATTTGGATTTGTCTGCTTTCAAGGTAAATAACTTGACAATAACTTTACTTTTTGCAATTTGATTGGGCCGTTATGGCCGTTATCGAGTTATTCAAATTTTTCCAGAAAAATCTGCTCCAGCAAACATTTGTTCAAAAAAATCAGAGAACACTCGATTTTTGGGACATCAATTTAGGATTCAGAACATGCTTAAGCAACATGATGGAGTATGTTTTGGTGCCGTGAACGGCTGTCTAGAACGTTTACTAGTTTACGAGCTATTAATTAAAAACCATAAAAAATCGTTTTTGCACACCTGGAACAAATACAAAAAAAAACTGTCTTCAATCTGTTTTGTTCGAAGTACATAGTAAATTTTAATGCAAGAAGTCTAACAATACTTTGACATAAAACAGTTTTTTTTTAAATTTCATACAGGTGTCCAAAATTTAGTTCCAAAGAAAATTTTTAAACCAGTTTCTAAAGATTTTCAAATGGAACACATATATTATTTTACTATCTTATGCAAAATTTAAATACAAATATTTTTTGTAATACAGTGTCTTAAAATTCTAGACCGTTCTCAAGATATTTACCAAAAACCATAAATGCGCCCATTTAGTAAGTAAAAAAAATGTAGAGACCCATGGAACAACAACGTTTATTTAACAAATAATTTTAAAGGTAACCCATTTATCTTAAAAGGTGTTCAAAATGTCTTCCATTTTGTTCAAGGCATCTGTCTATTCTTGCTTGAAGGCCCGTCTACATCTATATCACGAAGTATTTCGGGTGTAATTGTTGCAAACGCGTTGATTATCCTTAGTCGCGTGTTTTGTTCGGTTGTTGGGCGTTCTTTAAAACAAGACCTTTTACATACCCCCATAAAAAAAAGTCAAGTTTCGTTAAATTAGGTGATCTTGCAGACAACCTAACTGGTCCCGCTCTTCCTATCCAACGATTTTCATACGTGTTGTCTAACAAGGCTCTGACCTCTCGGGAGAAATGAGCTAGAGCTCCATCTTGTTGTAACCACATATTTTGTTCACTTGGTGATAAATTGAAAAGCAGTCCAGGCAAATCGTTTGTTAAAAATTCTAAATTCATTTGGCCGGTAAGATGACCATTAAAAAAGTAAGGGAGTACAACGTGTTCCCCAACGATTCTTCCCATACATTGATTGACCATTTCTCGCATAATTTTTGGATTTTCTGTAGCGTAATAGTGGAAATTATGTCTGTTGACGCATCCGTTGTTGTGAAATGTGGCCTCATCAGAAAATAACACGTTGCTAAAAAATAACGGACTTTCTTGACGGCGAAATCGAGCCCACTCACAAAACTCAACTCTACACCTAAAGTCAATTATCAGTCAAAGCTTGGTGCAGTTGACTATGTATGCATGAAAATTATGCAACCGACCTTTCACTTATTCCTACTTCTTCTCTCACACGCGCCTGACTAATGCTTGGATTTTCTGTAACTGCCAACAAAACTGCTAATTGATTTTCCTCATGTGTAACCGTTTTAATCCTTTCTTCCTTTTTGTAATCTACGCTTCCTGTTTCAAGAAAACGTTCGAGCAGTCTGCTAAAACTTATTGGTTCTGGATGACTCCTTTCTGGAAACTGAGTCGCATACATTCTACTTGCTAGTAAGCAATTCTTCTTACTATTCCTCAAAACAAAAATCATATCAATTAGCTCTTCTTATGAAAAAATTTTTTTTTTAAATAAAATATTTTCGTAAGCTTATTGTCAAAATTATTTGTCAAATAAACCATAAATAAACGTTGTTTTTCCATGGGTGTCTACAATTTTTTTAATAAATTACTTACAAAATGGGCGCATTTGTGGTTTTTGGTAAATATCTTAAGAACGGTCCAGAATTTTAAGAAACTTTGTATTACAAAAAATATTTATATTTAAATTCTGCATAAAATACCAAAATAATACACAAGAAAATCTTAAGAAAAACTGGTTTAAAAATTTTCTTCTTAGGAATCAAATTTTGGGCACTTGTATAAAATTTAATAATACTGTTTTATGTCAAAGTATCGTTAGACTTCTTGCATTAAAGTTCACACTATGTAGTTCGAACAAAACAGATCGAAGACGGTTTTTTTTGTATTTGTTCCAGGTGTGCAAAAATGATTTTTTATGGTTTTTAATTAATAGCTCGTAAACTAGTAAAGTAAATAAAAAAAATATGGGGTATAAGAAAGAACATAAAAGAGAGCTAAAATATGTAAAAAAATACAGAGTGTTCCATTTAAAAAATACATTTTGTGTCGTCACACTTTTTTGGACACTCATGTATATAGTACAAGTTTGCGTTTGAAAGAAATTCCTAACTTAATTGGTATAGGAGCTATGGATACCTGACGCACTGTTACAGGACCTGTATATACAGTGAATTTCACTTAAGATGCAATATACAAAAATATATTTCCATAGAAACCAGGGCGTAAGTACCTACTTACTTTGTCTTTGTCCCACATAATATGCAACATGTCAATATAATTTGACATTACAGTAAAACCTCGATATAACGGATCAATACGGGGAACGCAGTGTCCGTTATAGCTCTATAAAAATTACAACAATCTAGCGCAGAATAACAAATAAAACTAGACTAACACCAGCACTACAACTAATACTAGACCTAGAACTGGAAACATTCCGTTTAGCCGTACCTCTCTTAAGACGGATGGTAGGTAGCGCTAGTTATCATAAAATATCACTAAGTTTTTGCAGAACGATGTTGCTCAAAACATTTTTCAAAAAACAAAGAACTAAAGTTCAAAATCAAAAGATATCTCAGTTTTGTGGAGCTTCGAATTTTGCTCAAAGTAAGCGTTCATCTTTTAACAATCACGTTTGTCCTAAGGTTGTCAGAGGCGATGTTGCCTTCCTGACGAACTTCCTTAGCTAAAGACACCAATCGAAGTCGAAACAAATATACAGGATGTCCGGAAATAGCGTCTATTTTATTGAAAGAGCTGACATCAAAAATCTTTGTTAGGATTATCTCAAAAACGGCAAGGTATAGAATGCCGAAATTTAGTGTAGAGGGTTATTTTTACGTGACAAATATGATAACTAAAAGAAAAAAAATGATTTATGGGGTCATAAATGGGGTCATAACACGTAGGGAGCGCGTTTACGGTACCATACATTTTTTATCTTTATTTTTTCTGCCATTTTAATTACATCAATCAATTCTGCGGAAAAGAATACATGAAAAAGGTACTACTTAAAAAATTGTCTAAACCAGCCGTTTCCAAAAAAAACTGCATAATACGATTTACGGCATTAAAATCAATTTTAAAATATTTTTCTAAATATTCTAGTAAATATCCTATTACTGTCAAACGATGAATGAAAAGCATTTGTAACCTATTTTTGAATTCAATTTGCTATTAAAACTCTTAAAATGGTTGAACATTCATTCGAAGAGTATACCAATATCCATTTTATGTAAGGTAAGGCCGATGAAAATACTCGGTAAGCTCGGAAATTGTATGCAGAAGTGATTCCGAACATAATACTTCCTTTTTAGAACCTTTAATATGAAAGAACTAGGATACTAGAATAATTAAAAAAATAAAATTTTGTGCTTTTACTTATGCCGCAAATCGTTTAATGCAATTTTTTCTTGGAAACGACTGGTTTTAGACAATCTTTTAAGTAGTACCTTTTTTCTGTATTTTTTCCGCAGAATTCATTGATGTATTGAAAATTGCAGAAAAAATAAAGATAAATAAAATGTGATACCTTAAAAACCTATTATGTTAGACACAATACATTTTTTTTTTCTTTTGATTAACATATTTGTCACGTAAAAATATCCCTGTACACCAAATTTCGGCATTCTAGACGTTGCCGTTTTTGAGATAACGCTAAAAAATACTTCTTGAGTGCCATCTTTAAAGGGCTCTAGTGCTCTTAGGAAGCATTTTCGAACCGGACTTTATATAAACGGACATCCTGTATAATCCGTTGTGTTGCCGAACGATGCTTTCTGAGACACAAAGTCTTTTGCTAGCCAAATCTTTCCAAAATGCGAATTTTGCACAAATCTAGAAAACGCTTTGTTTTTGACGAAGTGAAACAGTTTGACAAATACGAAACAGTTTGCGTCGACGACAAAATGAGATTCATTCAAAGTAGTTGTGTGAGTGACTGTTTCTCATCAGCACGATGAAGAAGTCGTGGAACGAAAGTTTTTGCAGAGCGATGTTGTTCAAAGCATTTTTCAAAATTTTCTCAAAAAACAGAGAACTAAACTTCAAAGTCAAAAGAGATCTGAGTTCTGTGGAGTTACGAATTTTGCTCAAAATAAGCTGTCATCTTTTAATAATTACGTTTGTTCTAAGGCTTTCAGAGGCAATGTTACCTTCGCAGCTACTTTTACTTGTTATGTAGCGCTCGACCAAGAACTAGAATCATTCGGGTTTAGCCGTCTTAAGAGACGTGCGGCTAAATCCAAATGTTTCTAGTTCTAAGTCTAATGTTAGTTCTAATGACAGTGCAAGTGTAAAACTAGAACTAACACTATATCTAGAACTAAAATCATTTGGGTTTTGCCGTCTTTAGAGACGTGCGGCTAAACCCTAGACCCTAACACTAGACTTAGAACTAGAAACATTCGGGTTTAGCCGCACGTCTCTCAAGACGGCTAAACCCGAATGATTCTAGTTTCAGGTCTTGTGTTAGTTCTAGTGATATTGCTAGTATAAAACTAGAAGTAACACTATACCTAGAACTAGAATCATTTGGGTTTAGTGATCTTTAGAGACGTGCGGCTAAACCCAAATGATACGTCTTAAGACGCACGGCTAAACCTGAAACTTTCTAGTTATAGTATTAGTTCTAGTTTTAATTGTTGTGCAGCGCCAGACCAAGAACTAGAATAATTCGGGTTTAGTCATCTTTAGAGACCTGCGGCTAAACCCAAATGATACGTCTTAAGACGCACGGCTAAACCCGAAACTTCTAGTTCTAGTATTAGTTCTAGTTTTAATTGTTGTGCAGCGCAAGACTAAGAACTAGAATCATTCGGGTTTTACCGTATTAAACGGCTAAACCCAAATGTTTCTAGTTCTAAGTCTAATATTAGTTTTAATGACAGTACAAGTGTAAAACTAAAACTAACACTATACCTAGAACTAGACTGATCCGGGTTTAGCCGTCTTTAGAGATATACGGCTAAACCCTAATGATTCTAGTTCTAGGTATAGTGCATTTAACCGTGCGTCTCTTAAGACGGCCGAAAACTCAAGATTATCATAAGGACGTTACCTTTTTCCAAGTAAAACTTTTCCTGTACAAAACTACCCAATGCATGTACTATTAAGCTATGTTGTATTTTATATGGGACAGTGCAAGTGTATAGTAGTTTCGTAACTATGGTTACTACATTCATATATTGCGAGTTATATGAAATTCCTGGTGTTTATTACATTTTTCGATGATTGCATCTGGATTTCTTCTCGCAATCTCCCTAAATGTGCACCCAGGTTGAGGAGCAATCCCACCGTTGGGCCAAAAATCCAAATGCCCCACCGATCTTGGATAACCAAAAATCCCCGCATCTGTATGAATAACATCAACAAACTCAGCATCGCTTTTATCCAACTTTAAACTTTTTGGCCATTTCGTAAAAAGCGGCCCAGCTGGATCTAACCCAGTTATCCGAGCAATCCGGCCACTTCGAACGTTTTTTCCGGTAACACCAGCCATTTGTGCTCCTAAACTTAATCCTATTAAATGCAAAGAGGGTAAATGAAGTCCTCTTGATACCATATAATCGATAAATTGAGCTGAATATTCGCCAACAATCCTTGTATTTTTTGCTGCGGTTAAGTACCAGGGCCCAGCTTCGATTCTCGGAGCGTTTAATAGTAGGATATTGTGATCTTTGCGTTGGAGGTAAGCCGTACGCATTATTGTAGCGGTCGTTGACGTTGACGATTCGAAGAATGCGTGGAAAAATAAAATTGTTGGCTCCGAAAAATTGAAATAGGAGTTGTAAAGGGAGTGATCATCGTGAAGGGATAATGTTTGTGGTTGTAAAGGGTTATTTCTGAAAAGTAAATAAATAAAATTAATAAATACATATAAAAGTTTGATTATTAGAATGTCGATTTGAAGAAAGAATTTGCGCTCACTCAAATAACAACAAATCAGGTTCTTTTTTTAAAGACCTTATGGACTTGACACCAATAACTGAACCATTGTGTTATTAAGAACGCCTTTCTCTACACTCAAAGGGTCGACCTAGACAGGTTCCGGGTTAACAAAAAAAGAATTCCCTTTCGTCTTTGAAATTCAAATATTAACATTTAATCGTTACCAAAAATGTTATCTTAAATCTTAACCTTTCGATAAAAATGAGCGGGACCTAATTGTAACTTTCGATATTTTCGACTGATACGTAAATGCATTGCAGGTTTTCAACGGCCTAGAGTACTTTTCAGTGTAGATGTATGTATAAGAGAGTTAAACTATTACATAACGTTCTTTCTTTCGAACCCGCCTTAGGAATAAGAGAAAATAATTAATGGGGAAACGCGACTCAGATATACAGTTTAATGTTCTAGACGTTGATCAGACAGAAAACTATTAGAAATATTAAATCTCAATTTTTTTTACCTCTTTCTGGTATACATTCCCTAATAATAACAACAACATTACAGTAACTTTCTAATTTACTATCAAATATTGTAATTTAGCTTACCGCTTTTTTAGTAACGATTTTTGATTAATAACTTTCTAAGATTCGGTTAAAGTATTAAACTTAAATTCAAACTTTAAATTTTTCAAATTATAACCTATAAATTTTGACGCATCATCTTGATACCCATCCGGTTAATCATTTGAACTAAAATACATCTGACCTTTAGATGAAACGTCATTTTTTTTAAATTATTTAAAAAAATAATTTAATTAAGTCAAATTTGACTTTTTCAAAATATAATTTTTAATGAGTTTCGTTTCAAATTTAACATTGTAAATTATCACCATTAAAAGAAAAAAAATAAAGTAAAAAAATTCAAATTTTTGACGGATACGTGTGAAGTTTGTGCGAGTTAGTAAATCATTTTTAACATTTAGTATTATCAATTTTTATTATTAATAATCATCACCTCAGATTTAACATATCATTTTATTTAGGTTTTTTAACACAAATTTTGATTACCTTTAAATTTTCTTTAAACAGTATTTATTTATGATTATTATGTCAAAAGTGACGTATTAATGTCAACTGTCAAGATTGAAGTTTAAAATGTCGAAATAGAAAAAAAAGTTGTTGCAAAATATTCAAACAACTTATTTAAATTTTGATTTCTAAAAAGAGTTCAAAGTCTTTAACGCTTTTAATAACTGTTTTGAAACTTTTTACCCAATCCGATAATTATAACTTATGGGTTAAAACATAATTATTAACTTTAAAGAAATCTTAATAAACAAAAAATGCTTACCTTGTATAAAGTTGATAACTAATATCTCTTATCGGATCTACATGACTACAGACAGTTTTATCAACCGGAAGTAATTGAACATAAGCATCTTGGATACTAACACCGGGTGGGCCTGAAACAAAAAATTAATTAATTTGTTTAAAATTTTAAACAAAACAAAATTTACCAGGTAACGTGCTTAAAAGACACATTAACATTGTTCCGGGTACAATTCCGGTGTAATTCGATGATACTAAATCGGTGGACATTACGTTTCAAAACGGACTTCGCGCCGGTTAAACTCGAAATGCGCGAAAGCATTGATTGCTGTGGTGGCGCGTTAAGAAGTTAAAAAGGGGGCTTTTCTTTTTCAAACGATTTGCGACTGGCGATTTTACCTCGGTCAGAGTTGAAAGGGAACGAAAAATTGCCACATTTTAACCTTAACCTTTCTCTTTTAATTTAAATAAATCAAAATGATCATAAAAATTTTATTAAAATAATTTCAAGTATTTTTTTGAAATTAGTTATGAAACACTACATAATTAATAAGTGCATTACACTTCCCGGTAAATTTTGTAATGTTATTTTTAAGCATATTGGATTTTATAGAGCGTAGAAAATATCGGAGAATTTTAGCTTATTTATTTTATAAACTGCGGTCCACGTTGAGTATCTTTTTGTTTTTTAAGTTGGTATAACCAGCAATAAATCGATACATTTTATTTATTTGTATTTTTTTCCCTAAAAAAGCGACAACCGTGTCTAAATTTGTACCAATTTATACGTTGCGGAAACTGGAACTATGCCTTAATTTAAAATAAGCTAATAATTTTTAAATACAAAGGAAAGTTTGTGGTTACGAAATCTTGTTTATGCGAATTTCTTTCTAACTTTACCACTTTTACTTTGAGATTAAAAATTTTCCCAAGAGCATTGTTCTCCATGATCACCTTCCTGTTTATTATATACTTCTTACTTAATTAATTATGTATTAAATACTTTATTATGATTGATTAACTGACATCCGGTTAGGTTTAAGAGTTGGAACTCTTCGTTCATATCATCCTCCAGCTGCATAGTTTCTAGTGACTCGTTGTATTGTATACTTTCTTCTTGCTTGGGCTCCCTGTTCTTGAAACTTTCTGTCCCGTGGATTTTATTTCTTACGTGTGTAAGGACATTTACAAATTTAATATAAAATACCAAAGGATTTTTCTTCTGCAGGCCAGGGGTTCGGTGATCCAACTTTTATAGAATGCTATGAGGAGTGATTTGGATTACTTTAAATACAGTGTGTCCCCGGATTGTGTCCCCGTAAGGTATAATAGACGATACATTTTTGAATTCAAATTCCATCTTTTGCAATTAAAGTCTGGATGTCATAAAACGAAATATAATCAAGATTTACGTCAAATGTCCTCAAAGTACCAAAGATAACGCAAGAAGCTTGTTAACCGTTGCAGGTGAAGTGGTCTTTCTGAGCAATGTACAACAAAAGTTGATTAAGATAAAATGTTTGTTATGTTAAATTATAGCGATATGCCGAATTTTATTAATTTAGGATATAAAAGCAAAATGCAGATTTTTAAATCAGAAGATTAACAAAACATTTTCGATCTAAACTAAATTAACATAAAAGCTTATGCAATGAACCACCACCAACACTAACACATAATTTAGCCCTTTTCCGACATTGTTTATAACTTTTTCTAATATGATCCAACGGAATTTCTCTAATAACTGCTTCAATTTTTTGTTTTAAACGGTCTAAACTGTTATTAAAATTTTCAGTGTACACTTTATGTTTTACATAACCCCAAAAATAAAAATCCATAATAGATAAATCCGGACTTCTTGGCGGCCATGGTTGCGGACCATATCTACCAATCCATTTTTTTCCAAATAACGTATTTAAATAATTTCTAATTAAAATGGTCGAATGTGAAAAAACTCATTTTTTCTTTTATATGCTAAATTAATAAAATTATCGGCATACCGCCATAATTTAACATAACAAACATTTTATCTTAATCAACTTTTGTTGTACAGGGTGGTTCAAATTCGATGTCCGAATAGGCTATCTCGGAAACTATAAGAGCTAGAAAAAAAGTAGCTTACATGTCATGATCTCGTTTTTCGAGAAACTGTTAATGCCAAAAACCTCAAAGCGCTACCGTCTTTTGTTTTTCCCCTAGAGACCAAAATTGAAAATATCGTAAAACCAGCAAGTGCAATTATCTTGGTTATTATTATAGGTGGAGTATTATAACTAAGACATTATATGGACACTTTTTTACAGAGAATTTGATGACGTAGTCAAAAAATTTTTTTCGAATTTAGATTTTGAGATATTGTCACAATTTTCGTTTTTTTAAATGGATACAACCACTCATTATTCGCTTGTTAAATTCGTTATTTTTTTCTGATTACAAAAATATGGGGTTAGATAGATCTATTTCTTATTGTTTTGGAATAAAGTTAAAAATAAACTTTTTTTTTAGTGTCGTCAAAGAAATTAAATTTACAGTTTCCTGTAAATTATAACTAAAAATTAAAAACACATATTAACGATATTTGAAACAAATATATTTGGTGAACTATTTAATTTATATTTGTTTTACACAAAAGTTGGAATAGATTGCATTATTTCACATTTTTTATTAATATTTAATATTATTATTAAATAAAAAATTTAAAAAAATTAAAATTAAATGATATTTGTATTCAAAAATTTTCTTTTAAGATCGATTACGAAAAGTTTAACATGTTAGAATAACATATTAACATATTAAAAAATAAAGTAAATTTTATATAAATTTTTAGTAGAATAATTTTTAGTTATAGTTACAGGAAACTGTAAATTTAATTTCTTTGACGACACTAAAAAAAAATTTATTTTTAGCTTTTTAATTTAATAATTAAATAAGAAGATAACTTCTGGTATTTAAAAACAAATAATTATGTTTATT